GCGGGGGCGGGGAGGGGAGGGGACCGAGCCCCGCGAGCCCCGCCCCGCCCCGCCCCGCCCCCGCCGGGCTCAGAGACAGGCGACCCGGCAGGGCCACTGCTCCAGCGCCGCTCGCCCGCCTCCGGTCACCGCAGGTCCCCGGTCTCCGCTCGGCTCCCAGGCCCAGGCTTTGGGTCACTGGATGTGGACCGAGGCCGCAGCCGGGCCTGCCACTGACAGCACCCCAGCTCCGGTTCACGGTCCTAGCCCGAGGGAGGTGGGATGTGTGGTCCCCAACCCTGCGGGAGGCAGGCGCCGGGCGCACCTGTCAGCTTCTGTCCCCGGTGCCTGGGCTAGGGAAGCCAGCACCTGAGCGGCAGCGGGGGTGGTGATCCCAGGGCCTGGGTAGACCAGGCTGTGAGGCAGTGGAGCTGGGCCCGAGAAGGGTACATCACCAGCTGGGCCCCCCACGCCCTGGCCAGTATGTGCCCTGGACCCTGACTGGCACCCCAGGAGGTGACAGTGCAGGCGGACTCCGCTCGATCCACACTTGCCTGGCACCAGGAAGCCCTAGGTTCCAGCCCCCAGCGCCCCCAAAATCCAGGGGTGAGGGTGCCATCTTGGGAAGAGTCCTGTGCACCATGGCCTAAAGGGGCCATCAGCACGGGCCACCTCTGGGGCTGCTAGGGTGACAGCCAGAGAACTGCCTGGCCTGAGAAAAGAGTGTGCCTACAGCTTCGCATTCTGTCCCCACAGCCAGGAGGGAGGGGTCCAGCCTATCCAGGAGTAGTTGACGCTTGAATGGGGCTCTGATGCCCATCTTGGATTTCAAGGGGCCTGGAAGGAGGTGGGAACAACTGGCAAAATACAGGAGCCCAGGCCAGGGCCTGGTTTTCTAGAAGCAGGAGTGGAGGGTGCTGGTCGCAGATCTGAGAAGACTTCAAGGCGGGAAGAATGAGCCTGGGTTGGCCATGGCAGACCCCAGGCCTGCATCCCTGTGGCTGGCGCCTGAGCATCCCAGCCACTAGCCCAGGACACAGCAGGTAAGAGGTCCTCCCCACACACCTCTGCTCCTTTTCCTGAGCAGAGCTTGTCATGGCTCCCAGCTCAGGCAGGGGCATGAAGCTTAAACGGTGCGAAGCCTGGGAGGTGGAAAAACCTGATGGTGCCTGGCCTGCAAACCACACAGAGAGAGGCCCAGCCAGGTCCCTTGGGTGCTGGGCTTGGGTCAGCAGAGGCTCACAGACCTCCAGCTGCACCCTGGGTTTCCCCTGCCACACCAAATGGTCTTTCCTGCTGCCTGGAGACCATGCAAAATAAACAGCCTTTCCAGCAAGGGAGTTGTAGGACCTGACTAATGAAGGGCTCTCCTGTGCTATACGGAGCACCCTGAGGGTGACCCGTGGCAGAAAGGAGAGGCTGTGAACTCCAAGGAAGGAGTCCTTGGTGTGTGAATGTCTCCAGAGAGACGGCAGTGTCAAAGGCAACTCTTCCACCAAGCCACCTCCTTGGAAAGGATCATTAACTTTGCAAAAGGGTCTGGGAATAGATTTCACCATTCTTAGCCTCCACCGAGGTCCCAGAAATTCCTGGCTAGTGCTGGGGCAGCCTCATCTGCTGCCCAGGCTCTGCAAGTCCGTGTGTATTTCCCACCTGCTGAGCGGCTGCTAAGTATGCCTCTTGTATACAGGGCCACCTGTCCCTAGCACAAGGTGGCCACACAGTGTTTACTTCATTAAGTTAATTGCATTCAGTTGAATAGCAAACCAAGGTACTTAATATACACCTGTCTCCTCACGTATGCAGCAAATTCCATTTGTAAATAGCTCTTCAGGAGTAAATGTACTAAGCAGGGTGTAGGGTGGGTGTGTTCACCTTGGGAATGCGGAGGGTGATGGTGTCTGACCTACCCACACCCGTTCCTGAGAAGAGTAAAATACACAGAGAAGGAAAGGGCTGAGCTGAAAGCTGGGGTGAGTGCCCCAGAAGCTTTCCGAAACATGCCTGTGGAGTTGGGCAGAGATGTAAGGATACCACTTCCCCAGGGGGCTTGGGAATGTATCCAGTCTTGGAACCAGCACCTGAAATAATTCTTGCTGTCCAGCATAATCAGAAAACACAGGGGGCTGGTGAGATGGCTCAGTGGTCTAAAGCACCTACTTAGAACAAGCTTAGCAAATCACAGGGACCGCGGTTCAATCCCCAGCACTACATGCCAGCCCGCCCCGCCCCCCTGGTGGGCTGAGCTGGCCACACACACACACACACACACACACATAAATAAATAAATAAATAAATTTAAAAAAAGAAAACACAGTTTTAGGGCCAGTGAAATAGCTCAGCAGACTAAGTGCCTGCGAAAGTAAGTGGAGGGACCCGGGTTTAATCCCCGGCACCATGTGCCCCACTGGCCCCGCCCCCAGACAGGCTCACTGGGACCAGGCGTGGTGGCACACACCTGTAATCCCAGTGCTGGAGAGGCTGAAAACAGGACGATTAGTATGAATCTGAGCTGCATAGTGAGACCCTGTATCATATACCGAATACATTTTTAAGGAAAAAAAAAAAAAAAAAAAAAACAGTTTTAGTGGGTGTAGCAGCCCATAACTGTCATCCCAGCACTCCAGAGCCTGGGGCAGGAGGATCGCTGCTTTGTTGTTATTTCTTTTATTAATCTCTTGGGCCTTAGTTTCCCCAATTTTAGAATACTCTTTATTTTGTTTGTTTGTTTTTGGCAGAACCGGGGATTGAACTCAGGCACTTGTGCTTGCCAGGCAAGTGCTTATTCTACTGAGCCATCTCCCCGGCCCCATTTTCCCCAATTTTAAAATGGGAAGGGACAAAATACAACTTTCCACTTGATCCTGCAGGAACAGGTCCTAAGTGAAGCCACCATATTTAATGAGTCCACATCCCACTGAGAGGCAGACGACTAGGCACAGGGCTTGAATCAGGTCACCCACTCCACAGTGAGCCCCTTCAGCCCGGCACCCCTCTCTGCCTCCTTCCAGAGCTCCCTCGAGTGAGCAAGAGGGTGCTGCTCTCCCCTGGAGTGCTGAGAGGAAAAAGGGCACAGTGTTTCCTAGAGCACCTCCCATTAGGTACGGTGTGGCTTGCCTGCCTCAAAGACAGCAGAACAGAAAGGAAGACTTTTTAAAAAGGTCTTTTAAAAATAATAAATAACACTTCATCTCTATAGTCACAACAAGATGTTTCCTGTGGCCTGCTAACCCTGCTGTGGTTAGGACTCCAAGCCTGCCCCCAGCCTCAGTTCCAACCTCAGCAGGCCTTTGTCACCTGCCCAGCAGCCCGGGAAGCAGCTGCACCATGAAGCACTTTCCCCACCTTGTGCCTCTGCGTGCGTGTGAAAGGCACGCATGTATGTGTCAGCACATGTAAGTGTGCAAAGACTGCTGTAGGGGTTGAGGTGAGGAGCAAGGCTGGACCCCAAGGAGACAGTTACCTAAGACAGATTTTCAATGCAAGAGAAGAAACCTCGTTAGAGCCACTACAAGGCAAGGAGAGCAGATGCTCACAGTGACACCACTGTCACCTCCCCCTGAGGCCACCAGGAGCCCAGGAGCAGAGCGACTGCACAAGCTGGGGACAAGACAGTCAGGCTGTGCAGAACTGGCACCTAGAGCACCTGAGGCTCTTTCCATACCTGGAGGGGGGATTAAATTTTAGCTTTGAAAACATACCTTTTTTATTTCATTTTTCTTTTTAAATTCTGGGGTTTAGATACAGATTGTGCCATGCATGTGAGGCAATTCAGCCCTTCAGCCACATTATCTGCCACAGCACTCTACCTATGACCCCTTTAATGTTATTGAGACAAAATCTTGCTAAATTGCCTATGCTGGACTCAAGTATATGATCTTCCTGCCTCAGCCTCTCAAATAACTGGGATTACCAATATACACACCTGTGGCTGGCTTTGAAAACAAAAATTCTTAATCTCATTGTGTTGGATGTATGGAACACCTGGGTCCCTACATTTAGTGCCAGAAATTGCAACATTGCTGGAAGCAAAAAAAAAAAAAAAATAGCTTGTTATCCAATTAAGAAATAAAAATTAAATATGGGTGGCTCAAACTGTGTCACATATGTATCAAGTTGAACAGTGAGCTGCTAGTAGGAGGAAACACACAGGGACTCTGTTCAGTTGCCTCGATGGTGTAACCATAAGGCCCAGGCTGCCCTGAACTCAGGCCGATTCTCCTGCCTCAGCCCCCTGAGTTCAGGGATTACAGGAGTGTGCCGCCACACCCGGCTACATGCCGAGACTCTTGTCATGGAGTCTACTGCTTGGCTTTCAACCCTGGTTCTGTACTTACTACTGTTTTTTGTCGGGACAAGTTACATAAATTCTCCATGCTTCAGTGTCTTTATGTGGCCATAAGAATGTCGATGGCAATAAATAGCTATTTCCTAGGATTCTTGTAAGTAAAAAAAAAAACGTAAGCCTGGCATAGACGTGTTTGCAATTATTAAAGTATCTTTCTAGCTGGGCATGGCAGTTGCGATGGATTGCTAACTGGTGGTCCACTTACTACACCCAGCTGGGCCGAAGCAATGGGGTGCTGGGTGTGGGAGCCCACCAGAAGGCTGTTGCCAGCAGTGTA